AAAGATAAAGTCTTAATGGAAATTAGAAAATATTTTTAACTGAATAAAAATACAGTATGTCAAAATTTAACTTAATAGTACTATATCTATTAAAGAAACTGAATTAGTATTTGTAGCCTCTCAAAGAAGAACTCCTGGCCCAGATAGCTTTCCTGAAAAATTTTACCAAATATTTAAGGAAGAAATGATGATACCAGTTCTCCTCACTCTCTTTCAGAAAATTGAAGACAAAAGGAAAAAAACAATATTTCCCAACTTATTTTATGAGGCCATCTTTAACCTATTATCAATTAACAGTACATGAAAATAAAACTGCAAAACAATATCGCTTGTAAACTTATACACAAAAAATATCAATAAAATATCATTAAATTGAACTCAGTAATATATAAAAAGAATATTACACCAAGACCAAGAGCTAATTATCCTGGGAATTCCAGGCTGGTTCAATAATTAGAAATCAGTTACTGTAATCCATCATATCAGATGAAAGAAGTAAAACCATATTACTTCATGTTATATTAACATGCTGAAAAAGCATTAGATAAAATTTAACATCACTCTAAGATAACTAGGAATAGCAAACTTTCTTATCTAAGTAGAGGCATCTACAAAAAGTGTGTACCACTGATATCATGATTAATGATGGAAAACTGAATGGTTTCTTCCTAAGCCTGGGAATAAGGCAAGGATATTCACTCTCACCACTCTTGTTAAGCATATTACTGGAAGTCTTAGCCAGTGGGAGAAAAATAAATAAAAGGCAGAGATTAAAAAAGGAGAAATAAACCATCTGTTCAAAGATGACATGATTACTTACACAGAAAATCCCCAAAAATTTACAAAAAGAAAGACTACTAAAACTAAGGAATTTAGTAATGTTACAGAATGCAAGGTTAATATATACAAATATATACTATATACTAGTATGTAGTATATGTTTCTATATACCAGCAATGAACAACTATAAATATTTTAAAGTGCCATTTGCAATAGCTCCCATTAAAAAATAAATATTTAGGTATAAGTCTAACTAAATAGTGCATAGTCTGTATGCTGAAACTATAAAACAATGAAAAAAGAAAAGACCCAAGTAAATGAAAAGACTATGATTATAGATTGAAAGACAACATAGTTAAGATGCCATTTTTCCAATAAACACAATTTCAGTGAAGTCCCAGCAATATTATTTTATAGACATATACAAATGTTTAAAATTTATGTGGAAAGGTAAAGGAATTATAATAGCCATAACAATTTAGAAAAAGAAATGTTGGAAGATTTACACTATCAGATTTAAGACACTAGAAAGCTACAGTAATCAATACAGTATGGGACTGATGAAAGAATTGACACGTAGATAGATCAGTGGAGCAGAATAGAGTCCAGGATAGACCCACATTATTATGATTAATTGATATTGGACAAAGGCGCAAAGGCTATTCAATGGTGAGTGGATATATAAATTGTGATTAATCCATACAATGGATTCAACAATAAAAAAGACTCAACTATTGAAAGGCACAAAATGGATGAACCTCAATTTCTACACAATCCTAAATGTAAAAAAGACAGTTGTAAAAGGTTTAATTCATTTATAAAAGGTATGAATCCATTTATAACATTTTTAGAAAGGCAAAACTGTTATCCAGAAAGCTTTATTTAAATAGCAAGGTCATGGTCTTATCATTCGCCTTCCACGTGGAGCAAATATATCATTTATGTATCAAGTATACTTTCACATTTTTCTTTTCTTTAACTTTCAAACTCTAAAGTACATAGTCCTGTTTGGCCTCAACATGATTTCAAACATAAATGTGGACAGTTAAATTGCATGGCTATTAGGTGACCATCTGAATGAAAACATTCTCATAGCAGATTATCACACTCTGGACAGTATATTCAGGAACCAATCTCACGTCCTACTTTTCTTTTCATTTCCACTTCCCCACCCTTGCTTGAAAAGTACTGCACTTGAAAAAAAAAATGTTTACTTCTTTTGGTAATCATTGTCGTGCAGTACAAAGGAGCCCTAATCTAAGAATTATAAGACCTAGGTGACTTTGGGAAAGTCAATGTTTCTAAACTTGTTTTCTCATTTTAAAATAAGGATAATACCTTCCCTGCTTACTTCATCTGTAAAGATCTCATGACCCAATGGAAATCATTTTATATGTTGTAAAGTGCTTGGTAAGTGTAAGGTATCATTACTATTATTAAATATAAGAAACCAGTATTTTGTAGTATCATGACAATCGAAAGAGATTCAACTTCAAAAATTGTTATAATTTCTAAAATCAATGTAGAATGAATAATGATTTCATAAGTTGATTACTCTCTAGTTTATCATACTTTAATGAAACTATTAATAGAGTATAAGATATGCTATTACAGCAAATTTTGGGTACATGGCTAGACATATTAGTACATTTTAGATTTTTGGAAAAAAACATCAACAAGCAATATACTTAAGATTAATTTGAATTATGAAAGAATTCAGTTTTAGTTAAAGCTGTAGTTGTTTCTTTCTAGCAGTAGATGCCAGTAGAGTTCTTTTTAATAAAAATCAAATTGCCTAAGTACTTTCATTGCAACAGCTTCCTGGTCACATTACCATATATAGAAACATTGCTCTGTGACTAAAGATTCTATTTTCTATAAGGACTTTGTAAGAAATAGAAACAGTTTTATTGGAAAAAATATATATACAGATTTCAAATGTAGAGTTTTCTAGGTAATCGTTCATTGAAGCTTTTTTTCCTATAGTAATTTTGTAAGGTTTATGCATTTAAAAAATTAATATTAATGTTCTGTAAACTCAAGCATCAGTGGATATAAGTCTGTCTAGACATGTGTTAAAAATGAATATGGTCGGGCTAAAATATTAGGATTAGGTCATGCAGTTGGCAAGGGAATACCATGAGTGTAATATTTGGGGAAAATTAATAATGTCAGAGATGAGTGATTGAAAGGAATGCCTGAAAGTAGGGAAAACCAGAAGTTATTTTTGGAAATTCACATTTGCATTAATAAAAATGAAACTCAAGAATGAATAAAATTTAGTCACTGAATATAAAGAAAAAGGAGTTTGATGATATAACTTCTATTACTGTCGTTTTTATATATGAACCACTATGGTCCTATCAAATAAAATTAAAATATTTTCAAGTGATGATTCTACTTAGACTTTTAATTTGTTAAAAATGAGTGACTACTTCTACATATATTTATTGAGTATTTAATACATGCATTGCATTTTGAATCTGAGTAATTCAATTCAAGGCATACATTTATAAGCAGCAAATTTTAACATGAAATTATAAAATCAATGGAAACAGAGAAGAGAGCAGTTTATTTTTCTGGGAAGCATGTGGAAAACTTCAGGGGGGAGGTGACATTTATGGTAAGCTTTGAGGGTGAATAGAATTTCTCCCAAAAGAGCAAGTCAAAGAATTCAGGAATTTTATCCACTTCTACCCATACAGAGTCAGTCCAGGCTCTGTAGATATTTGTTAAAGACTGCAGACATTTGTTCAGTGTCCGTCCGTTTTGTGTTAAAACACTATTAGATGTGAAACAAATTATCTATTATTACATACACATTTATACAGAAACTGTTGCATTTAAGTTTAGTCTTATAGATCATGTGTATTTGTTTAGATTGATACTAATTATATTACACAAAACTGTACACAAATGAGCTGTTACTTGGTAAAATTAATTAGTCAATGTTTCGTGCGTGTGTTTCTTATTTGATTACAGTTTTGTTCCTATTCTGTTTGTCAAGTGGCTGGGAAGAAACTTGGACTAAGATATTGTTTAGATTGATTTTTTAAAGGCTCTTCCTCCCTCCCTCCCTTCCTTCCTTCCTTTCTTCCTTCCTTCCTTCTTTCTTCCTTTCATTTTCTTTCCCTTATTTAGAGCTTCCAAAGAGAAAACCACACAGATTTCTCACTTTTAATTAGTAAAAGAAGGCAAGTACTGAAAATCATTGTTATATGTCACAGGTTACTTTTTCCTTCAAATGGACAATGACAAATATTATTCACTTTTAATCAAAGGAGCTATGTCTAAGGCAAGACCCCTAAATCAAGGACCGGGGAAGCTATAGTTCTCATCATTAAGTTTAAAGTTAACATGTCTCATTCAACTAGAAGGAATTTTTTCCCCTCAGTTGAAATTTCTTGCTGTGATTGATTTTATATCATTTTAAATCTTATACATATTTTTTAAATTTTAAAATGTTTTAAAATGTATCACTCATAAGCACTTGTCAGCAGATTGTAAGTTTGATAAGCAGTACTGACACTGAGTTTTCGTAGTTCCTGTATATATTAGATTTAAGTCAATGAGTTAGCAACATTCAGTTCTTTTTTTTAGTGCTAGTTCAGATTTTTTTTTTAGTTAAAACATATGTGTTATAAATTTGTTTTATGAGAGTTTTGGAATATCCATTCCATACCAATTTTTGATGAAAAGTTAACTGCTTATAAGGATTTATAAAATCTTTATATTAGCTGACTTCCTAGAAAAAAAATAACCTTTTTAACATATTATATTTGGAGAGTAGTTTAGCCTTAGTTGTTGGCATAGGGTTGTAAAACATTTAACTAGTTTTCCTTTTTTAAAAAAAACTTTTTAGCCTGCTCTGTATGTATAAAGCTTTATATTTAATGCTCTTGTTAACCTGTATATTGATATTAAAATAATCTTAAACATAGAGCCTTTTAAGCCAATATTTCAAGTCATTAAAATCTCCACCTCTAGTTGAGATGGAGAGTTCTGCTAAGAAAGGCTCGGTAATGTGCTGTTTTATATTAACAGGAAACAGAACAGCAGTAGTGGTTTGAATACCCTGCAAACAGGAAGTTTGACACATGCATAGCTCTTAGCTTCTGTGTAAGAAGTTGTTGAGCTCCTTCTGAAAATATTTTTAGTTACTTTAAGTAAAGTGTAAATGCACATAAATGGCAGCTTATAGAGAACTATCCTGTAACCAGTATACAGGTACAACTGCTCTTCAGAAGTTGGAAGGTTTTGCTAGCCGATTATTTCATAGACACTCTAAAGGTACTACACATGATCAGAAAACAGCTCTGGAAAATGACAGCCTTCATTTCTCTGAACATACTGCGTTATGGGACAGATCAAGTAAGTTTTTTTTTTTAATGATAATATTATAACTAGAAGTTAAAATACTAATTGGAGTTTTAGGATCAAACATAAAGAGCTATGTTTTGTTTGTCTTTTTATGATTTGCAAGTTGAAGTTGAAAAAATTTTACAAAAACTTGATTATAAATTGAGCCAAACCATGCAGTTCATTGTTTTATCTACAACTATTTAAGCTGAATGTCAGTGGGAAACTTATACAAATTTTTTACATCATTTCTAGTATGTTACTGTCTTTTTGTTTTTATTTTTTTGTTCTTATATAAAAGTGAAATGTCTAAAGTTTAGAAACAATGATCAGTTTATTCTAAAAAATGTCTTGTATATATAAGCCTTAAAATTTGAAAGGGGCAAAAACTTGAATTTTTAAATTTCTATTATGTTTGCCAACTTTTATTTTTAAATGCATATGTGAAAGTTATTTCAGTTTTACAGGCAGGGTTTCTAATATAAAAAGCATAGTATGATTAGTTTATATGAACTTGTAACATTTTAAAAATCAAAAGCATTCATAATTATATTTATTTTACTCATAATTATGGTTAAAGGGGGACAAAGTTGTTTATACATGCATCACATTCTTTCCAGGAATATTAAAATGTTTGGACTTAACTGCCTCCTTTGCTAAAATGGTGATGTGTAACTATTTTTGGTGACATGCATTTGAAAAGATAAATTTCACATGCATATAAACAATACCAAGTGCCTCCATTCCACATATCACCTTGGATCCTCCCCCAAGTATTTTTGTCACTCTGATTAAAGGGACAATAGAATTAGTCTTAGTACTTTTGCCCTTTTTGGTGTGTTTTTTTGATCATCAAAAAGCACTGGGGTTTGCCTCTTTCTGCTTACATATTCCATAGCAGTTAAGGAAGAAAACTCATCTAAAAAGAAAAAAGTTGTTTGTAAAATTTACTTTGTGGTTTATACAGATTTTTTTTTTACTTTCAAGCTATTTTAGGGAGAAAGTAAAGAACATATATTTGTACATTGTTTTTACTCTAAAGATTTTATTTATAAATAATTCTTACCATATAGTAAGTTGATAGATGAGGAATATAAAATATCAAGTTAGTGAACTGATCAATTTTGAAATAACAGTACATTATTAAAATTTATCATGCAACAAATGTTGTTATTCATTCTATTTGCCTTATTGTTAAATTGCCATCTCCTAAGGCCTTTTGGAAATCATTTTTATGCATTTTAAAGACCTTTTAATTAAAATTTCAATGAAGAATGAAGATAGTACTGAACTAATTTCTGTTTCACTAGTACTTGTTCCTCCAAATAGTGGGTGTTCAATAAATGTATCTTGAATGAATATCATGGGCTTTTAATAATTAAAAATTATGTTTGAACTATACTCACATCATTTTAAACATGTATGGGGCCTGTGATGTTTTCTGAAACACATTTCAGAATTTAGATATGGAAGATAATATCATGAGCCATGATTTCTTTTGGAAAAATACAGACTGATAAAATGCTGTTTTTCTTTACTGCGATGTCACAAAATAAATAAGATCATTGGGCACAAAGTAAAATTAGGTATAAACCTTTTAACTGCAAATAATAGGCATAATATAACAAATACTTAAATAGTAACTGAATGTTCATTAATCAAGTGTTCTTTCAGTTCTCTTTTATATCCCAAAAATATCAACTATACACAATAATTTTATGTATTTAATAATGATATGGTAAGCTTGTGGCTCTTGTTTCCTGTTACGGAATTTGTTGATATGTAGGAGAAAACACTGGCATAACAGAAACGGAAGAATCCTATCATTGTAAAATTCCAGGGTTTATTTTGTGGTGAAAACACAAAATTTTATTCATTTATAGAATGAGTTATGGAATGAGTTTTGACTATGTAAAATTTTTATACAAACCACATTCTTCAATGCTACTTAAAGCAGCTTACTTGCATGACTTGTTTGACAAGAAAAAGGAATGTAGTATCTTCTGATAATAAATATTCTGAATGCGCTTGCTCCAAAAGTGCTATTTTAAGAAACGAACTAAGCACAGAAACTACATGTAATTTTTTTTAAAAAATTAGGTTCATGAACTATTGAGTAAAGATTAATAACCAGTTTAGACATGTATGAAATGTACAAGTTTTACTTCACATTTCTTCTCCAGTGACATTAAATATAGGAAGAGATGAGGAATAAAGGCCACATCTTGCTTTCCAGGTGCCTTAAATGTGTTTCATCTTTTGCTACTAAATTAAGTAACAGGAATTCCTGTTTGATAACATAAATATTTAACAGCTAATTCCATGCACATATAAGTACATGAAGTTCAAAAGAAAAACATGGAGGAATTCTGCTTTTAGTTGTGACTCAAAAGGAATGGGAGCATTAAAATTCATTGAGTTCTCTTTTATAGCAAATTTATTATGGTTAGCTTTTAATATTTCTTTGATCATAAATGATGTATTAAGTAATAAAATGATGAATTTGATTAATTTTTGCACATTTAAATCTTGGACTTTGTACGCTTAATGAATGTCTAATTAGAACATCTTAAGGACTGAAGAGGTGAATATTACCAAACACTTTACCCATCCTCCTTTCCCATGAATTGGCAGGCTATTTCTCTGGCAGATACAAATCTTAGATCTAAATACTATATTGAAAAAATGAGCAATTTTGTATATGGATTTCTTAAGGTAGAATTGGATGGCTAAAATGGTTATAACAGACCACTTTTTCTAGTCAGTTTTACCTTTCCAAAGTTCATACAGTCTTTCAGACAATTTACTTCCATGCTTGTTTCTTAGTCTACTGAATCTGTATCATTGCAACTTCTAAGCTAGAAGACCTTTCACGTTATATTTTTATCTACTTTTTCCATCTGCAACTATTCCATAAGGTTCTTTATAGTAATCAATTTTTACTTACTTGGCAAACTTTTTTGAGTATTTACTATATCATAGTCTATAAACAAATCTAGAGAAAAAATAAGATCTGATTCTCAAAAGCAAGAGTAGGAAAGCAAGCATACAAACAACATACTATTCAAGGCATTGTGAAATGGTTGCTTAAAAATGCGTAAGTAGCTTACTGTGAGAGTTTAGTGTAAGAACAATTTAACACTAAAAAGAAGATGAGAACTTCAAGAATATTGAAGAATAGAATTTTGAGATTCAGAGAAGGAAGAGATTATTAAAAGAGAATAACACATAAATGTGTGAAAATATGAAAACCTGGAATTTACTTTAAAGACATAGTAAGATATTGTCTGGAAAAGTAGTAAGTAGTGTATGTATCTGACCACAGTACCATAGGGTATTGAGAAGGAACAGCCTTTACCAAGTTTCAAAGGGTTTTGTTAAATTATTCCCCCAAGATAATGGATGCCTATCAACCTTTGCATAATTAAGTTGTCTACTGAAGTGATTCTTCCCACAGCAAAGAAGATATGCTTCAAGCTATGTCTCCACTTAGGTAAAGAAGCACTTGGCAGCATTTTAAAAAATCAAAATATAATTTACATACCATAAAATCACTCATTATAAGTATACAATTACTAATAAGTTTAATAATAAATTTATAGAGTTGTGCAGTCATCACAGTTTGGTTTTAGAACATTTTCATCACTCCAAAAAGTTCTTTTGTACCATTTTGCAATCAATACCCACTTTTACCTCAACCTTGGACAAACCGATCTGTTTCCTCTCCCTACAGATTTCCTTTTCTGGATATTTGGAATTATACAATATATAATCTATTGTTTCTAGCTTTTTGTGCTTAGAATAATGTTTTCAAGTTTCATCCATGTTATAGGACATATCAATAGTTGCTTTTTTATTACTGAATTATATTACGTTGTTTGGCTGTAACACATTTTGTTTATCATTTCAGCAGCTGATGAACATTAGCATTGTTTTCAGTTTCGGGTTATTTGGATAATGTTGCTATAAACATTTGTATATAAGTCTGGATGGACATATGCTTTTATTTCTCTTGAGTCTATACTTAGGAATAGAATTTTTGGGTCATATGGTAAGTTTATGTTTATCCTTTTAACTTCTAATTTTATGTTTTTCCTAAGTGGTTTTACCATTTTACATTCTAACCACTACCAGAGTTAATACTTGGGTCTTTTGGATTATAGCTCTTCTGGTGTGTATGAATTGGTATTTCATTATGGTTTTCAGTTTGTATTTCCTAATGATTGATGATGCTGAGCATATTTTCATGTTCTTATAAACCATCTGTGTATCTGCTTTGTAGACATGTATTTTCAAACCTTTTGCACAATTTCAAAACTGAGGGTGTTTGTCTACTTATTATCAAGTCTTCAAAGTTTTTTTATATATATTTTGATCATAAATTCTTTATCAAATACATAATTTGCAAATATTTTCTCCCATTCTGTGACTCGTCATATTTTCTTAAAAAATGTCCTTGAAGATCAAAAGTTTGTAATTTTATAAGTCAAAGAAAGATAAATACCATATGATTTCACTGATATACAGAATCTAAGGAACAAAAAGAACAAACTAATTGAAAACAGACTCACAAATGTAGAGGGCAATCTGATAACAACTGAGATGAGGGGTGTGGGGAGCTGAGAGAAAGCGGTGAAAGGTTAAAGATGTATAAATTAGTAGTTGATTTAGATGGTCATGGGATGAGGAGCACAGAATAGGGAATGCAGACAGCAGTAAGGTAATGGCTATGTGTAGAGCCAGAAGGAAGATAGAGTAATCAGGAGGATCATTTAATAAACTGTATAAATGTCTAACCAATGTACTGTATACTTGAAACTAATAATAATTTTAAAAGTTCATAATTTTAATGAAGTTCGGTCTATCATTTTTTTTCTTTTATGAATTTTAGTTTTGGTGCCATATCTTAAGAAATCTTTGTCTAACCTAAGATTAGATTTTTATTCTATGCTTTCATCTAGAAATCTTTTATTTGAGTTAAATTTTGTGAATATTGTGTGAGGTATGGAGTA